GCCCAGGCGTTGGTAGATGATGCTGTATTTCGCTGTGTAGATCCTGCAGAGTCGACGTACACGCATCGTAAACACGTTGCAGCAGCTTTACGTCCGCTGATGCCATAACCGCGGCACTCCTACTCCACTTTTGCAGTTGGCATTGCTTATTATCACTTAAGAAAATAGCGAAAATATGATCAAAGCAAATAATCTATTAATAGCTCTAGGCATGCCACATTTTATGCTGTCACGGATAAGCCTGCGCTCTGCTAACTGCGCAGTAAGCAGCGACTGCGCTTGGGTTGCGCTGCAGTGTGGGCAATATTATGAGAATTTTTTTGTTGAATAATTTCATTTGTAGACATACGATCCTAATGAAACTTTCAGAGCGTAATCATATGGTGTGTGTGTGTACATTCCAAAGCACAAGTCTCTAGTACTTGAAATGCGTTTTGGGGGAGAAGGGGGCGTGGTGTCCAAAATCTGTAAATTACAAAATCTTTGTATCGATTAACTTTATATACAACGCAAATTTGAAGACTCCAAGTCTAAAAGTGTTCAAATTAGGCTAAAAAAAAAAATCAATTTTTCGATTATTCTCGATAAAAAAATAAAGCAAACTCGTACTGCGTATGGTACACACGAGTATGCATGCCAAATTTCAGCTCTCTAGCTCTTATAACTTCTGAGATCGACGTACTCATACGGACGGACGGACGGACGGACAGACGGACAGGGCTATATCGACTCAGCTCATCGCGCTGATCAAGAATATATATATTTTGTGGGGTCTGACACGCCTCCTTCTGCCCGTTACATACTTTTTCACAAGACCATTATACCCTGATTTCCCATTTTCAATGGGCTCAGGTATACAAATTTGCTATGCTTATGCAATGCAGATAAGTAGGGTATGAGCGCGCTCTCTTACATTCAGATATTCCCCTACTTAACTCCACTGCATGTATATATATATATATATATATATATATGTATATATATGTATTTATTTCCTATTTGCTATGCTCATGCAATGCAGATAAGTAGGGTATAGAGCGCGCTCTCTTACATTCAGAAATTCCCCTACTACCTGTGGATTCTAAAGCCTTTGTGGGTCGAGCGCCTCTGCTTCTGATTGCTCCATGCGCATGCACCATTCACAGGTAGTTGACGAGTGTTGATTGGCCAATGAAAAAACTGCAAACTTTTTGCGCATGTGGGTGGACATATATCCGCCAAGGCATTTGTTCTTGGGTGGTCGACACGGATATGCATTCCAAATTTCAGCTCTAGCTTTCTAGCACTTCAACTTATTTGATTTCTGGTATATCGGAAAATGCAGTTTCCAAAAAAGCAGGAATTCCGGGGACTAATTCTGAGGATTTTTTGCATGTAATGAAATGTAATGTAAAATGTATGTACCGCATACCAAAAATTTCATCGAAACTATCGATAGTCCCGTCAATGGTTTTCCAGCTCGAGCGAGCGCTCAAACATATATTATTTTCCATTTTAGTACAATGTTTTGCAAAAACAAATGACATGACGCGCATTTACTAGTTGCAATCGGGAAAATGATATATGTATGTTTAACATTATTTCTGATTTGATGAACATTTGCTGTAGAGCTGCTAGATATGTACATATGTATGTATATAAAAAGAATATTAACAAAATAAAATATTACTCTGCTTGTATAAAAAATTTTGCTTATTATTAAAACTAGGAGCTCAACACATAATACATGCCAGCACCTTAACCACAAGACTACTGATATACATATGTAATATTATAGATGCATATACAATACTACATAAGTAGAAGCACTATTCAAATGCATTTACAATTTTCTGAATATGTAAATAATTCTTAAGAAAACTGCGCAAGGCCTGCCCATTTTCCAAGCGTTTAATTAAATACCTAAGAGTCATTTCATATCTGTCAATTTAGTAAAAATAAAAATCTTTCACACATTGGCAAAAAAAAAAAAAAAAGTAAGAAAGCTCTAGTGGAGACTGCTCGACTAGGAGATACCCTGAACCCTCCAAACTGATATTCTGCGCTGGGGCTGCGTTGCAGTGTGAGCAACGTTATAAGAATTTATTTGTTGAATAATTTAATTTCTAGACGTACAATCTTAATGAAACTCTCAGATCGTAATCATAATGTTCAAATGTATGTACATTCCAAAGCACAAATCTCTAGTACTTGAAATGCTTTTTTTACAAATTGGGGAAACGGGGGCGTGGTATCCAAAATCTGTAAATTACAAAATGTTTGTATTCATCATATGTATATACACAGTAAATTTGAAGTCTCCAGGTCTAATATTATTCCAATGAGGCTGAAAAAACAAAATCAATTTTTCGATTATTCTCGATAAAAAAGTTATCGGCTGATTTATCGACATAAAAAAAATAAGAAGAAACTCGTACAGCTCTCTAACTCTTGTATCTTCTGAGATCTACGCACCGATTTGCCACGTCACTAGTGGCCGTAGACACCTCTCTTTTAATCAGCTCTTAGAACGAGCTAATGGTAACCTAACTACAAAATTTGAATGGTTACGCTCAAAAAGGTTAAAATACAGAGTATCTTTCGATATGGCACGCCCCTTAAGAAGCGTAACAATTATTTTTAGATCATCGATAGAGGAGGTTACCAGTAACTCACCTATCCAAATTTGAAGCTTTATTTGCTACGCCCCCTGAGGGCGCCGCCGTAGCTGTTTGTGCTTAGGTGGTCAACCCGCGTGTATATACAAAATTTCAGGTCTCCAGCATAAAAAGTGCCTAAAATATAGCAAATAAAAAATTTGAAAAATCACTTTATCTTCTTGGTTTATAGTATGTCGGAAAATGCATTTTCCGATATAACACGCTCCTAGTGGGCATATATCGGAGATATACCCGAGTATGTGTTCCAAATTTCAAAGCCCTATCTTCAATAGCGCCGAAATAAATTGCGTTTATACGGACAGAAAGACAGACGGACGGACAAGACGGACATGCACAAAACCCATATACACATTTCAACAACTGTATATGCTGAATCTCTATATGTATCCCCTCTTCCAAGATAATTAAAATTTTTAACAAAGTTTACAAAACCCAGCATGCCCTAAGCAAATTGAGTGCCCAACTTAAATATGTATATGTATAAGTATTTGTAATAGAGTTATCCGATTTAAATAAGTGTGTTTGTTTGCCTATATATCTGATCGTATGACTGTTTTATATCTGTCTATCTGCCTATCATACATTCTGCCTCTCCGTCCGTCTGCCAAACAAAAGCAAGGGACAACGAAGAGCCAGAAGAGAAGAAGATCATTTCATAATTGTTAAATATATTTGATACATTTCGTTTAATTCCTTCCATTTTTCGTCGAGCCCGCTATTCTAGAATTTTTTGTTACATTTTAGCCAGTTTCAATTTATTTTTATCCAGATTATTTATCCAAAGTATTTCTCAAGCGTCCGGGCCGAGCAAATACAAAAAATATTCAAGCAAAACCTCAAGTGCTTAGCCAAATTATTCATTCCTTTTGAGGCTTCATTTATTCTCCTTCACTTTACAGAAGGCAGTAAGTTATGAAATCTAAATATTGAATGCTTCTCTCTCTCTCATTCGATTTCTTAACGAATGGCGTCTCTTTTACGTAAGTTGTGAAGTGAGCCGCAGTCAAATATTAAAAATATCCATGTCTGTAAGCATAAAGAATTTTAAGCAACTCCATAAAGTTTGTTTATAGTACAGAAACGTCATTTTACCTAGTTTAGTCCTTGCGCTATAACTCTTATATGTTGGAAGTGTTTTATTGTATATGCCCCATATAAAAGTTTATTTATCATCACAATACTGTTAGTTAGTTAGTTGAGCTACTACTATTAGTTACTAGCATTCTCAATTCCGTAATTTCTGGACGTTTATCAGTTAGTTCCGCAGAAATATTTAAAAAAGTTTAAATTAATACCACTGCAAATGGTCAAATAGATATTTTATTGATCTTTAGTCACATCAAATAGTTATGTGAGTGTAGAGTAGAAGCCTTTCCCATACCGGGCCTGTTTATTATCATAGTACGTGCGCTTTTGCAGTATGATAAGACTTAAGCACTGCTGACGGTGCTCAAAATGGAAATAGTATCGCTAATTTAACAAATAAGTGCTAGACGCATTATAAGTGGCTTAAATCGATGATGACTATGCTACATTATGGCCAACAATTATGGCCAAGCGCGCGAGTGGAGTACGAACCGGGTAGCTGAGGCATACCCTGTTCAAAGTCGGTCAACTACATGCAATGCAATGTTTTTTTTTTTTTTTTTTTTTTTTGCAATGCTCTATTTAATGAGATTTTCTGATTGATCTTAGATAAAATTTTGACTTATTCATCCTAGTTTGAAGGTTTTATATCTTAATACACCAACACCGTCTATATACTTCAGTTGCTCAAATTATCAGGAAGAAATCACAGAAATCAATATACCCTACTTTACCAAAGTAAAAATGAGTCAATTATATAAGGAATTCATATCAAATTTGAATGCTGGAAACACCCACTGAATGACGTGAGGCTGAGTGCAGAATAAGCTCTATCTCAATTCTTGCAATAGAAGATCTGCGTCGATTCTCACTGGCGATAAAGATACTAGTGGCAGTTGTTGCTGGGTATGTACATAGAGTGCGAAATGCGAAATTGATTGCGTTAGGTGTATATATTATAATCCTTTAAGTGCTATGCATTTGATTGGTAACCGCAACTTTGCTGATAGTCGGAATATGTACATAAATAATATTATCAAGTAATTTAGTTAACTTAAAGAAACCAACGATTGTTAGTTTGCTTAACTGGGAGATACCCTCTAAACAGATACGAAATACTTTACAGTTTATACCTTTGTGTTATAGGTTTTCCTATAAGGCTGTGCATAGTAAGAAAGATACATGTACCTGTAGTCGATAATCGATATTTATCGAGTTTAAAGATATCGATTTTATAGCGTAGATTTATGGTAAACTTAATGTATTTGATACGGACAGGTGACTGAATATTAAATTAACCAAGCAGCGTCATAAGGAGTAGGACTGTCATAAGTCTTATATACCCTTTCGAGCTTCCAGAAAGGGTAAATGGTATAAATACGTTTTGCTATCCATGAAGAGACCCTAAGTTGTATTTCCCTATACACGAAAGCGGACGGCAATGTGAAAGTTCATTCAAAGAAAAAGCCAGTATAAAACCGTATTTCAAACTCGTGAAACATCCAGAAAAAATACAAATAATAAATAAGTTCATATTAGTTTTGACTTCAAAGTGCAACTGTGAAAAGCGCTAAAATAATTTAGTGCTCGAATAGAAGTAAATCTCTTGAAAAACTCCTTATACTAAGGAAAAGAAAATATTTAATAAACACTTCATAAAAAATTCTTGGAATCCTTGGAATCAAATATATCCCCCTCAATATGACCGTAGCAAAAAGCAATTCCACTACCGTCCTGCAGCACATCGAAGCTGGTCTCAACGTGCTCAATCAGCTGTGCATTGGATTCGTCACAATCTGGATCTGCTGGAACTGCCTACGCACTGGTCTCTCTGGAATCCGGCTGCACGTCTGGCTGGTGTCCTTTGGTTTTGTTTTCCTCATGGCCGAGGCCATGATGTGCTTCTACGACGGCAACTGGCTGACTCTGCGCTACACTCGCAAGCGCAAGACGGCCATCCATGTGGTGCTGCAGATACTCGGTGGCGGTATGGGGGTAGCCGGCTGCCTGGTCCAACTGATACGCGACAACTGGAGCATTAGCGTCACCACCCACTCCCGGCTGGGATTCGCCGCCTTCGTGCTGTGCCTCATCTCTCTGCTCAGTGGACTGTCAGCAGTGCTGGCCCGTAGCTTGTCGAAGATTTGTTCGCCGCTGGGCAACAAAACCTTCCACGTCCTGCTCAGCATGGGCGCATTTGTTACGGCCATGTTGGCCCAGTTCTACGGCTATACGCAAACCGGAATATTCAAAGGCCAAGGCGAGGATTTCGTTATCCTTATGCAGGTCGCGACCCTCGTGTCAATGGTCCTAACCTGCATAGCACCGCTTAAGTCGCTATATCAGAAAGCTCTCAGTTTCGCCAGCTAAGAGGAGAAACGATTATGTTAAATTTTAGACATAAATAATGTTAAATTTTAGATATAAATAATTTAATTAACTGAGTATAATATTAACTTATAACTAGAAGAGAAATAAAAGTAACTTTAATACAAATTCAGCATTGTATTGATTTCAATGAAACTAGATTTTTCTTTTAAATCATCAGTTTATATTTTCCATCTCTTATGAAACAATGATTCAATACACAGTTTGTAAATTAGACATATTTTATAAGTCTATAAAGTTAATTAAATAATTTAATAACTTATTCTATGTAATTCCAGATGAGCGGATCCAGTTCGCTAAATTAGGTAAGCGAAGAAGTGATGTCAGTTTTAGTGAAACTAATTTAAATTTTATTTTTTATTAGCTAGCTTAAAATCTATAATATAACGGACAAAACTGAGGTATAAGTTTAGATAGGTAGCATCATCTGTGAATGGAATCTCAAAAAATATATAAGTTAATCTCATGAATGCTTCGTCAGTTTTTCTATATATATACCCTGATTCCATTGAAAATACAAAATTAGGATATAATAGTTTAATTTTGTTAATGATTGACCTATAGATAGATTCTATAGCTATTTTACTATTACATACTATTAGCAAGTTAAGTATTTTTAAACAATATCAGTTAAAGAAGTTGAAAAACAAAACATTTTGTCATTCATGTTAAATGAAAAATAACATAAATATAAGATAAGTTGATCTTTTCTCTGAGGTTAACTCCATGTAAAAATCTCTCATTAAGGTATGATTTAGTTTCAAACTAAAGTCGGCTTATACCAGCCACATTTCTTAATGAACCATGCTGTTTTTATTGGGAGAAGCTATTCATGCAGTTGCTCACGTTAAATATTAAATATATTAACGTATTTCTGTCGGAATGTCTAACTTTCTATAGATCTAACTGTTTATCTGTGCGCCTGCCTATCTATCTGTATATCAATGTATTTTTATGTACGTCAATTTTCTTGAAGTCGTTCAATTTAAACTATGTTTGATAACAGCATCGATAGTTGATTGCGATTATAGTTCGTCTCTGGATACAGGGTATAGCATAGCAAAGCATCCCTAAAAGCAGCTCAAGTTTGTGTACAGCATCCCCAGAGATTCGTTTTCTCTTGCAATAAACAATTGTATATATATATAATACCATATGTAAATACATATTAAAAATTAAAATGCAATATACATATATCAAATGGAGGCATTCGTTTTTGCTTGCTCACTACCCGACTAGTAAATTCCCTGTAATTGTGTTCTGCCTTTAATATCGATACTGTTGCTGGCCTTGATCTATCAATGAATTTTCATCTAACTTTTATATTTTGCCCCTATATGTATATTAAAAGTCGACTGTCATATGATATTGAATAGCTATACGCGAATAGCAATATGGGTTATTATTTGTGGTTTGCGGTTGACAATACCAGTTATAGCTGCAGACTGAGGCGCGATTAATGCCGACTCGACCCCGAGTCGACTTCGAGCTGTACCCATACAGAACTGAGATTAGTGAACTGGCTATAGTCAATGGGCGTACTTCTGACTCGCGGAAACCCGCAATAAATTGAAACTCATATAAGTTGGCTATTGGCTTTTATGATTTCGGCCGACGACAAATCGAAAATAATAATTGCCGTGAATTTGAATGTATATAACGAAAACCCAAAATAAAAAGCAAAAAAGCACAGTCAGCGCTTTCCAGCCTCATAAAATAGTTGTTGGACGCAATTATCAGTCGGCGAGCTTGTTTTTGTTGCAGCTAATAAATTTAACACGAAAATAACATTATTGTTTCCCCACTGATAAGCATGCCGTACACACTATATCGACATCCAGATGTTCGACTACCAGATGCCCTTTACTGGTTTTCATTGATATTCACATTCCTCCTCTCTTCTCTTTTGCCTGAAGGGAACATTTCGAATTCAATATCATGCTAAGCGTACCGATATTTCATTGAAATCGATACATATCGATTCGAAACAAACGTCTTGAATGACCTAAACTGACTTGACTTTTGCTGCTAAATATACTTTGACGAGCTGAAGATTTATAGCCCAATCTCTCTCTCTCTCTCCCTTCTTTTCAGTTACAGGGTATTAAGACCAAGCATTTAGAGCCACGATGACAGAACATCTCCCGCCGGTCATCAGTAGCACGCAGAAAGTGGTCGACTACGGCAGCACGGCGAGAGCTGACACAGCCAAGAATCTGCTCCCGCAATCGCCTCCAACAGCTCTAACGGCACGAGCCCAGCGATCGTCCGCCTTTGTGCACCTGAACGAATCTTCCGGTGGCCATCGATATTCAAGAATGTCGCACAAATTACCGCTTAGTGAGACCGAGCAGCCGCTGCAGCGCCTGGAATACTCTCTGAATGTGCTGAACCAAATGTGCATTGGATTTGTTACCATCTACATATCGTATCTCACGCTGCAAACGGGCCTCGCAGGCACCGGACTGCACGCCTGGCTAGTTACCATTGGGGTAAGTGACCCGTCGGCCCGAATTGAGCAGCATTTGATTTTCCCCCTGGCATATCGCAGTTCTCCTTCTTTATGGCGGAAGGGGTAATGGTCCACTATGGAGGAAATGTGCTAACGAACAGCTACAAGCGATCCACCAAGACCACAATCCATTGGATCCTACTGACGCTGGGCGGTGGCTGTGGGGCAGCCGGTGCCCTGATCAAAATGATACAGAAGGGATTTATGCTGCAGTCCGTTCATGGCAGATTGGGTAAGTGAACGGGATTTGCTTAAAGAGGAACATAAATAATCGGGTATTCTTCTAGGCATTACCGCCTTTATACTCTGTCTCCTGGCCATGAGCTCCGGGCTGGCAGCTCTCTGCTCGGCGCGCGTTAAGAAACTAATCACGCCGCTGCTAAACAAAACATTCCACAATTTCCTGGGTTTCGTCTGCTTTGTCATCGCCTTAGTCACCCAGTATTACGGGTATGAGACGGGATATTTTAAGAGCCGCACCAAGGCCGACTTCCAGATCTTGATGAAGTGCATAACGCTTATTTCGCTGGTGCTCAGCAGCTATGGTCCAATGAAGGGGCTCTATCATAAAATAAAATCAATTTCAAGGCAGTTCTAAATCGGGCGAAGATTATTTGCCGACATTTTAAAACAGATTTGTATGATCAGTTTTTCTTATCGCAACCGCGCGACCCTCTGTTATTGAATCGAAAACTGCTGTAGGCTTTAATGCCGTGAGTTCCCCAACAATACATACCTCATGCCGGCACTGGAATTCCCCCCTAAATAAATTAGCCAGCAGTTCACAGGGAATTATAGATAAGATCGTTTTTATATTATATAGTCGTTGCCTTGTGCTAGGCACGTACAACTCATTTGTAATACGAATCAGGCTTTTATGACAGTATCAGCTATGCCAAGAGATAAATGTCTTACAAGCACGCACACATTGAATAGGCTCTAGCTTAAAATATATAAGAATAAAATATATTTTTAAAAACTATTTCAACTATAATCTTTTAATATAATTGGGATATCCCAATAATATTTAAGTATGATGTTTAGGTAGCAGAATCAAATTTATTGATCTTTTATATTGTAGGTTGATCTAAAAGTTATCGAAGATATAAGATCCTATAGATATGTATATTATGCACACTTTTTATTGAGCTGGAACATAATGGCTAGATACCTATATATATAAATATATATTTATTCCAATACAGCAACGCCCCCAGTTGTGATATCAGAAAATAAATATTTATTCAAAAGAGGGTAGAGCACGACTTCTATACTCTAAGAGATTACTAAAGAATGTTAAATTCCATAGGACTTGTTCCAGAAGAACTCAATTGTAAATCTTAGCATGTCAAAAAAAAATATGTGTAAGTACATATTGATAAAATGTTTACTTAGCTGGAATTATCTATCTTACTTTCATCGCACTTTATTTACCACGCGAAATTAAAAACCTCTGATGAAGCATTGAGATTTTTCCAGACTCCTTCCCACCTAATTTACCATACCATACGGCTGTTGTATCCTGAATGGGTATTATACAGTCGGTAGTAGCTGACTGCAATGACCATACCTTTATCACCATTATCTGATGATTCAAATCTGTCTAGGTTTTATAATCTTACGTGCCTACGTACACCCATTCATGTAGACTATCATAGGGTTTGTACATAATTTCAGCAACTCATGATGGCCTTATCTAAGAACGTGAACACGTCGCTCATAAGATTATCTTTTCTACATAACCGCTTATCATTAGTTGGCATTCTTAATTAAAGTGAACATTGCACGATTATTATCTATTGATAAAAATAGAAACTGTTTCGTTCAATCAAAATCGTTAATACTGAAGAGCCGTTGTCTATGTCAAGGGCACAAACAACTTTCTAAAGACACCCAGTCAGATAATCAAATGAAAGTAAGAAGCACGTCAGCTAGATTCATTGCATTCGCGATAATCTTCAGGAACTGCCTGGTGAAACAAAGTGTAAGACGGCCATCCATGTAGCGCTGTAGTATAACCGGTGACGCCATGGAGATAGCCGGCTATGATAAGTTATACGGCTACACGCAAAACAGAATATTCAAAGGCAAAGGCGAGGATTTCGTTATCCTTCGGCAGGTTGTGGCCCTCGATCTCAATATGTATAGATAACTGGCAATCATCGGAATATCGACATTGGAAGCAGACTCCACTAATGTTCCAGATCCTAACGTGATCCTGTTATACATATGTACAATACTAAATAGTGTTGAACATAATCAAAACTAATGGAAAATCAAAAACATTTACATATTTACCAATAAAAGAAGTCAAAAATAATTCTGGTATAATTAATTAATGTCTAATAATTAAATATTCGCTTTTTGAAATTCCAGAATTCATCCAAACTCAAATTCAAAATTGTAAAATCGTTTTTCGTGTTCTTCCCACAATGTTTTCAATAAAAGCCTAAAAGTATGTAACGGTATTTTTAGCATCTTCATTACCGTGTTAAACTATTTTCATAGTACAGTCAAGTCTCGATAATTTGTCCCGATCGAAAATCGCGATAAATCGAAAAATAACGCTTTCGATAATTCTCGATAAGGCGAATTTCTGTGTAAATCGAATTATCATGATGTATATACATATATGTATGAGTTCCTTTCAACTGAATTGCAATCAGAAACACAAGAAATTCTGGGACTTGCTCCCTTGGCATAAATAATATGCAAGTGCAGCGCATGTTTATTTAAAAAATTCTCATTGTAATTCATACATAGCTAGTGCAATAAATAATACTTGACGTGGATCATTGTGGATGTGTTCGTGCATGTACATATATATGCTGTGGTATACATATATGTATAATAGTTATAGAGTAAAATAAATATAGCTCCAGCACAAGGTATAATAAAAATACATATTCGATTCACGATAATTAGAGAAGTGAAGAATCTCATCTCAGGTCTAAGATACGCACAAGAACTTGGAATACAGAGCTTGTTACACGTAACATTTAGTAAATAGGACAGTATGTGTATGTAGTATGTATAATGGAACATTAAGCTACGACTAAAGCACATAGAAATTCGTAGTACGCATTTTCGGCATGACATGCATAACGGGCAAGGCAGAAATCATTTGAGATAGTTCAAATATATACTCGTCTATAGCTAAGTGGAAATTATGTTTTTAGATTTCTGTGTCAGATTCAGTTTGAGTTTAGAGCTTGGTGCTGCGCCTGATGGCAAAGGACATCAGGGCGTGCTCCAGCCGCATGTGATAGGGCAGCTTGCCACGCGTCACGAGCGGCTCATCGCCTGAGGCGCAGCAGCGGTCGCGACAGCACTCGCAATGATCGCCATCGCTGCACTCCTCCTCCTCATCCTCGAGGTCGTCCTCCTGAAGCTCGCGCTCCTTGGCCGCGCGCTGCTCGAAGCGCAAGTAGAACACAAGGCAGACGAACAGCATCAAGACGAGGGCGCACATAGCACCGCTGGCGATGCTGGCCTTCTCGAGCATGGGACGCGGTCGCTTGGGCAGATAGGAGCCGTCGATTTCCTTATACTCGCAGCGCTGACCCATGAAGCCAATGGCGCACTCGCAGCTGTAGACGGGCAGCTCGGCGATCTTCACGGCAAAGCAATGGGCGTCATTCAGACAGTACCAGGCGTCGAAGTTCTCCGGACACTTGTATGTGGGGAATGTGATGTTTGGCCTCGGTGTTGTCGTTGTTGTGGTGGTTCGCATTGTCGTTGTTGTTGCTGTGGCCGGCGGCTGTGTGGGCGCCAATGCAATGCCCGACATGGACGACGAGACCGACGGACGGGGCTTCGGCACTGTGCGGCTGGAGCATGCCTCGATCAAAGCCGGACAGCCCAGACAGCTGAACAGCAGCAGCAGCAGCAGAATGCCCATTCTCAATCTGTCGAATACTCTTGTGGCTGTGCTTGTGGAATGCATTTGCAGGCTTTTGTTTGAATTCTTTCTATTTGGTTTGCAACTTTGTTTGGTTTCTCTTAAGATCTTACAATACTATTATTTTGTGTGTATAAAACAATTAAATAAAACGATAAACAAGACTATCACAAAGTATTTAACAAATGTCGTTATGCACAGCGAGGCGTCGTCATCAAAGGCTCTTTGGAATTCGGTTCGAGTACAGTATCTGTATCTACATATGCAGCAGAGTATCTGTGTCTACATATGCATCAGAGTCTGTGTGTGTGAGCGAGTGTGCGGATCGGCGTATCTGTGAAAAAGATACAAATGCATTAGTAAATTGTCGGAAAATCGAATTATTCGATAATCATTAACGCAAATTTTCAATAATCAAATAAATGTCGGCTAAATAATGGCGTCATAAATCAAATGCAATCTGAACGGCTTATTAACTTATATCAAATATATATTTAAAGACACAATTTCACTCGAATTTGTTAAATTTCCTTGTTCATTTTTTTTTTTCAATTGTTTCTCTTGTTGTTTTCCGTTGATTATCCTAGCTCATCAAAGCTGGCTGTGATATGCGTCGGGTATCCATATCACAACCACTTGATGAGGCTTAGATAAGCAACATCAAATTTCTTTTGATGCAGAGTTCCGATTGATTTTTTAAACTGATGTTCCACATTATAATACAGGCTGGCCGAATAAGAGCAATAGGAAAGGGAATTGCAATTGAAATAAAAACAGTTTTAAAAACATTTCATTTGTTCTGATTTCATTTCAATCTATATCCTTGTCTGTGATAAATTTGTTTTTATTTAGGTGGTCCGACGATTCCGACTCCAAATCTAGAGCCATCACGATATTATTTCTAATATATTTATCCAATCTCTCTCATAGTTTTCTGAGTTTCTTTCTCCGATTAAGTTTAGCCTAAGATGCAACAGAAAATAGTATTGAAAGAAGGAAAGTTATTTATTTTATATTTATTTTCCGATTGCTCATATTTGGTCACAATTTACTTGATGACTTGCTTCCAATTCCATGTCCGTCTTCAACGAATGTAATTTGAGTGCGACCTACATTATGATTGACTTGATTTGATTTGATTGATTGATGTACGTTACATTACGCTAAGCTCATCAAAGCTGGCTGTGATATGCTCGCAAAGCTTTCAAAATGCATTTCACAGCCTCTTTGAGAGCTCAGCATGAATGTGGCCAATTCTTATGATAGAAAGAGGTACAGGTATATAGATAGATAGATAAATATTTTGATGATATTTTGATTTGTAAAAGGAGGAGGGCACCATGATTTATAATTTTGTTCAATGATTTATGTAGCAGTTCATTTGAACTACGAATAAAACTAGTGCAGATTATATCATGTGTTTGAATGTATATTTTTATAATTTATTTTTATTATATTTAAAAATATTTGTTATTCATTTTTGAATTATTTTTTATTATCTTTATTATGGGAATTATCTTTTTTTTTTACCAGAATTTTTTTTATTTTATTATTATTATTTTTTTTTTTTAATATTAAATTTACTTTAACAATTTTTAGGCTATCTTAGTTTTTTGTTTTTTTATTAAATTTTTTTCATGTTTTGAATTTTGTACTGAGCATCGTGTCGCTCCTCAAAGCTGGCTGTGATATGAGTAGGCAGAAAAAGCAAACATTTCACAACCACTTTGAAGAATGACACAATTCTCTCTCTTGGTCTCTCACTCGGCCGCGCTCCCGCTCCCGCTCTCGCTCTCTCCCTTGCTGTTCGTTGAGTGGAGACTCTCTCCCCCGACCTTTTTGTTAACCTGCTGCAGTTTAAATATTACTGTTACTTCGTTCATTTCTGTTAGTGCTCACCGCCGGCTTTTGTTTGGACGCCGCAAAACAAATATAAATAAAAACAAACTAAAAATAAAACAGAAGCGAACCCAACTTTATAACACTGGCAATGATGATAATGATGGCGACGACGATGATGATGTGTAGATGGGGAGCGGTGTGCTTGCTGTGCTACACAAATTTGAATGAAGCCGTCGGGCGTTATAGCTTGAGCAAAATTGAATGAAAACATAGCGTACGCTTTTTATTAAGCGATAATAATACGTTAACAAACGGTAATAACAATAACAATAGCAACAACAACAACAACGACGACGACATCAATAAGCACAGACACTTAAAATAAACAATATGATAATATAACATGATCATTGCACGCCATTAACAGTAAACAATCAATATGCATACACATACATACATAAATAAAGAAGAAGAAAAACAAATAAACGTCACTTATGGCACTGATAAACGCCAAGGTTGCCACACGTGGTAAATATGTACCAAATTTAGTCAACGTAAAGTCTACACATTTTTTTGATAAACATATCATTTGCAAATATTTATTATATCAATTGAAATTTTTAACAAATTGTTATTAACAAAATAAAGTAAAGATACGATCAAATATAAATTTTCTCATTTACAGAAAAAAAGTGAATTTTATTTGCATAAAATTTGCATCTTTGGCTCACATTAATGTAAGCTTGGGACAAGTGGCAACCGTGTCGGAAGCCTCAATAATATTTATATGTATATACATACATACATATATATTTATATATTGCATTTATTTATTTCTTTATTATGGCGCCGACACCAAAGCCCGTCAATTAGTCGCCAATTTTATGATAACAATTTCCAAATTTATATACGGACATTAAGAAATCGAATATTTAAACAGAAAAAAATACAAAACAAAGAAACGTAAATGCAATTAAAAGCAAAAATTTCGAGATTTCTTTTCATGCGTGTGTGGGTTTGTATGTGTGTATCTATGTATGTGTGTGTATGTATGTATGTATGTATGTATGTATGTGTGTATGTGATGTGTTGAATTGACAACGTCGCGTCCGTTATTAAAATTTCCGTTTTGAAAATTGAAATCTGCAATGCGAGAGGAACTAGAAGGAAGCCGCACAAAGTACAAGTTGAATAACCATTTTGAACTTGCGCGCGCGTAGGTCAAGATCAGCATCCCATTCTACTGTTCTTTTGCGCTGTTGTTACTTTTTCAATAGGTATTTGCCTATCACTAATAATAACAATAATATTAAAAACAACGACACCAATAAAGAGCAAACAAGTTCGTTGATCTTGGTCATTGCCAGTGGCGAAGCAATTGGTAACAAATATTACTAATAGAAAGCATAAATAAACTACATGCAAGACAACAACAACAAAGTTTGCAACATATACATACATGACAATTGGCAGCATTCAAGAGAACGTCAACAACAACAACACCCGCTAATATTACTGCTTCTGCTGCTACTTCTGATGTTGCGGCAGCTTCTGCTCGGGTCGTTGCCGTAAAACTGCTTCTCTCCTGCTTTCTCTCTCTCTCTCGGTCTCTGCCCCTCTCTTTCGCTTTCTCTATGTTTTTATGCTGCCGTGTTGTTTGTTGTTGCTGTAGTTTTCACGTTGCCTTATGCTGTTTCATTCTTGGGCGTCGCTGCTGCCCGAGTTCGTTGCTCGGTATCTGCTAGTATGCGTTTGTGTGTGTGTGTGTGTGTGTGTGTATGCATATGCATGTGTGTGTGTACATGTTTACAAAACTGTAAGAAAAGCGGTGTGTGAAAACTATGATTTACGTGGTATTCTACCACAGCGAAGATACACCAACACAAGCTCACTGCATTCAGGCACACATACGCACACAATGACATTTCTGTTGTTCTGCTGCTGCTACCGTCGCTTCTGAAATCTTACCGGTTTTTTGCTTTTGCGTAAAAACAACGCAAAAAACAAGTCCTACTAGTTTTTGTTAATGAGTGCGTGCAAAAGAGACAGCAATTGTCTCCACTTAGTGGCGACAACAACCAATTTCGAGGTGTGTTGGATAGAGTACAAATGTTTGTGTTAGTGTGCATTGGTGTGCGTGCGTGAGAGTTCAAGTGCATGCGCTTGTGTGTGTGTTTATGTCTACACTTCGTACGACGCGTAGGGAGAGTACAATTTATATATATGTATGTATAAATGTTTTTTTTTTTTTTTTTAATTTTTAGCTACTTGTCTGTATGTATAAGCATATATATGTGTGTGTATGCGCGCGGGAATGTTAAGAATTCTAAGAATTTCGCTCAAGCAAACGGGGCGCGGGCGATACAGAACAAGTAGAGGTTATGAAAAATATATATTGACACTATTTATGAATAGTTCTTCAATTGAAAATTCATTTTATTGTATTAAATCAATCCATAAACTACAATTTTCATGAATGATGCACAAAGAGACGACGAAAACCACAAACACCAATAAACCCAGTTAGCAGTTTTTTAAATCCTGAGTATTTCTTTCGTTCACTAAATTGAAAAGAATCTATATATATATTTGTTTTGTATTTCCATTGGTTACCAAAAATAATTTATATTAAAAACAAAATCACTTGGCATGAAGCCGATGCCGACGCCGTCACTAGCAGCAGCAGCAGCATCGGTCGCTCAGAAAACACAACCGCATCGCAAACGCTATGAAAGACAACTGATGAAAACAGCAAAGAGCAAGAGCAAAGCGTGGCCAGACTGATTAAATGAGAGACCAAAGTAGACGCCAACGCCGTTTTCTTTTCTCTTCTTGTGTATGCATAAGTATGCATGTGTGTGTAATTTAGGCATTGGCGGCCCGCACACATACACCACCAAATAACATAAATAACAACAACGTACGGTATGGCTTGGGGCCTGTTGTTTTTGTTTTGGTGTTGCCAGAACGTTTCGCACGCTATAGTAGGATCAACATGTTGACATGCCGCCGCCGCCAAGTTTGGAGGAGCTAAATTGCACACAAACAAGAAGCGACGCAGCGCGGCGGTTCAAAAGCAGGTAGACAAACGGGACGAACAGGATGAGGTCCAGACTGGGACGACAACATTTTCTGCTACTTGGATGCTTGTTTTAGTGAATTCGTGGAAATCTTGGTTGATGCGCAGGCGTGCACGTAAACAACATTCCTCGAGGCATTGCATTGAGTCTGGCCTTTTATTTTCTTTTTTTTTTTCTGACATGTTGTGCGCGCCAAAAATAAAAACGAGGCTTTTTACGCGCGCGCCAAGGATTGTGGGGTTGCCAGACTGTCACAGTTATGGAATGCAAGCAATATTTAAATATTGCCATTTATATAACGGCAAATTTCTCTCACATTAAATTCAAGACAAATGCATATAACCGGATTCAATATTTTATTGATTATAGCTCTCACGCAAAACTAGGATATGTGTCTATGCTAAGTTTTATCCATGTTGTCATTACTTAGTCTTCATTCCTTACTAGTTGCACTACTAGTTGTTATAGGACATTGACCTTAAACTAAACAAACTCATGCAAAGTATCTCGGAAGAAATCATTTTCTACGGACTAGTGCAAAATAATCAATACGCATTAAACTGAAAACTTTTAAGCGCAACACACATAATCACACGCATTCAAGCTCAGCGTCATTTGGCGATGACGGTAAAAGGTCATGTAAAAAAAAGTTGCCAATTTGAGATTGGGGCTGGGTCGTCTAGTCTGGGTCGCGAGACGGTTGTCAGACTAGACAGCCAATGCAAATTGTAACGGTAATCATTAGACGAGCACACACAGCAAGCACAGGCATTGACACTCACTCGCTCACATTCGCGATTCTCTCGCGCATTATTTGCATGCCGCTCTCTCAGTGTAGAGTTCGACGGCCTTCTTACGTAAAGACAGCAACACAACGCGCAGCGGCATTTTTCTTCTTTCTAATAAGCAAACACAAAGGGGAACCGGGAGGATTTCGGCGTTGCCACATCGTTCAACACAGAAAAACTCGTTTTCGTCCGCACTCTCTCGCCTGTATTTGTGTCTTTGCAACTGTACAAAAACAACACAAATAACTACAGCTATAACCGAAACACACGGCGCAGACGCCAAACGAACGCTCCCCGTTGGATTGTCCGTCTGTTTGTCAGTCGTTTTGGCTCGCCCGTCTCACTCTGTGTATGTGTGTGTGAGTGTGTATATACATATCGTGTATGCATATGCGTGTGTGTGAACAATTTTTATTTTTCTGAATGTAAAGGAAGTGGCACGTACTGTACATAGCGCTCCGCCGATGCCTGCTGCTTCTGCTGCGGCCGCGACTGCTACCGACGAGGCATCAGACTATGGAGTGAGAAAAAATATACAGACGACAACGACCGACGCTGTGTGATGGTGGTGGCAAGCCGAGACGACCTGAACATGGGTACCAAGCAGACGGGAGCTTGTTTGTGTGTGTATGTGTTGGTGTGTGCAGCATACCTACTATAAACAGGAAATGGAATTTACACACACATTCTATCTACACACACACATACAGCGGCAAATTGTTGGTGAGCCGACAAGCGGACGTGCTGCTTAATTGACAAATGGGCATAAAGAGAGAGTGGCTGAGCCTGAGAAAAAGAGAGAGAGAAAGAGCGAGCAGAAGCAGACAAAGTTGATTGAAATCAATAGTCACCGTACAAGTGTTTGTATATATGTATGTATGTCTAACAGCGCGTGGAATGTGTGAAAAAACGCGGCCAATGGATGGCAATCAAACGACGCTCATTGCCGTCTATGTTGAATTCTGGAATGTCCAAGTATCTTCTGGTCGCGTGGAGACTTTTACTCTGCCGTTGCTTTTGCGTCAACGTCTTTGCACCTGACACACGCGCAGGCCGCGACGACACACCCTGTACCCAAAATCGACAGCAGCTGCAGTCTTGAAACTATTTAGCTGCTGTTTTCTAACGCTCGTTTGCAATTATAACATGTTGCACAATTAGATCCGTTGATTGCCTACAAATAAAGCAGGCTTGCATTGAAAATTATTTACAAGTAAACACGACCATGTGTGTGTACAATTGACATTGTAATTGTATATGGCGACCGTACTACACGTAGCGTGTAGTTTTTACTCGAAAACGAGGAATGAATGAAACTTCGTTGTTTCCCGTGGAATACATACACATGCACATGCTCATCCGTATACATGCAATTGTATATATTTGGAACAAGAGAGAAAGTCTACAATGTGGCCGCGTTGCCAACTGCGTGGACAAATTGTTTACTTTTCGCTCGCCGGCTATGAAGACCAAGTGGTTTAATTGAATGAAACCAAAAAAACTAAAAAATTTAAAAATGAAAAAAATCATTGCTACAATATATGAGGGTGACGCCTTGCTGCCGTGTACTAACCTACATTAATGTAAGACAAGCTGCGGCTGTATAGGCAAAGTAGTTGGCAACATACAAACTAGTTTATTTTACGCGTTGCCTCAAAAGTCTCCGCGTCGAACGAAGCATGGGGAGTGCAGCATATATGCATAAGTATATGTGTGTAAAGGAGAGGGCTATTGAAAAAAAAAAAAACCGACATATACATGTGTATGTATATACGCAACAAAATTTACTGCTGCTTGCGGTGCCTTATGCAGGGGCTACCTACACACACACTCACACACTCAACGAAAATGTATTTTGTCTACTGCGTAAAAATTACCAAAATAATTTTCCCGACGGCCAAATTACACAAAACCAATCATTTATATTTAACAATTACATTCATCTCGGGGTTTGTTAATTCCAATAACTTACATTTGGTGTTCGCAATAGCCATTTAAGCTTTCGCCGCTTACAAAATATTTTTTCACATACTTTGCACACACGCGCACATTTGTTACAACTAATACTGTTTAATATTCGAGTTGCTCTCTTAGTTCGAAATAATTAAAAAAAAGGCACTCAATTCTTTTTTTGTTTTTTCTTTATTTTAATCCATCCGTGTAGCCAGTTCAATCGAAAAATGTTATATCGATTGTGCTGTGCTCATCACCAATGTAAACGCCGATAGCAGCAATATGTTAGAGTATTGCCACTGTATTGCCAGCATACAGGAAAAAATATAGTGATATATATTTCTACAATCGATATACATATATAAATATAAGTATATCGACGCTGACAACGTCTCCCGCATTTTTCATTTCAAATACAACAGCGCAGCATTGAAAATTGAAAATTATATTTGATTGCTATGGGCACCAAAGCAACTAAAATGGAGGGCACCTACTTGCCAGATACGCCAACTTTAAACAGATTGCGTCTTGCTGGCGCTGCAACTGCTGCGCAGAGATCAACCATAGCGATTTCAATGAGCCCCTGCAGGGAAAATATTGCGACGCTAGATCCACGCTCGCCCAACATCTGCCGCACACCATTAAATGTAAGTGTATACCACATTCATGTTATTATCATGTTATTAGACACTTTTTCTCTAGATATTGCCAGCTGAGCCGCAAATATGCCAGATGCAGCAAACGGGCAACGAAAATGCTTTTGCGCAGCTGCGCAAGCGCCTGTTGAAGGGTTTTTCATTGAATGATCCGCGCTCGCCGCAACTCAATCGCACGCCACTGGTACTCGACGAAGCCATTGATCGCACGCTAAATATGGACGACACATTTGCCGATCTCTTCGTGGAGACGCGTGCTCCAGTAGCACAGTCAGAAGTGGCTACTGAACGCCACAACAATAGCTCCGTTGAAATTGTTTCTCTGCCCTACGAGCAGGAAGAAACGATGCCCTGTGACATGTTGTTGCATCAGAGAACCCCAGAGCAGCCACACATACAGGATCCGCGTTCGCCTACTATTGGGGTAGAGCGTACGCCTATTATATTTTGTGATGATGATGAAAGCGAGGCGCGTGAAACCCAAATGCTGGAGGATATCCTTGAGACCCTCACGCTCAATTTAAGCAACGGGAGCAGCATGGCCTCGTTCGTAAGTGCCAGCGAAGAGCCGATACCAGATGATGCACAGGCCCAGGTGCAGCAACATTCACAGTCCCAATCCCGTCCAGCTAATAAACACTTGGAGCGCGTTCGCCTGGGCAACAAGCGACGCGTTGCACCCCGGAAGCCTGCACGCGCGAACAAGCCGCAGATTTATGTAGATGCAACCCCAGAGGGCGTGACCAGCACGCCCAAGAGCACGCCCAACAGTCAGCAGCGTGGCCAGCGAACGCCCCTCAGCTGCGTCAACAAGAATCGCATGCATCTCCGTTCGCGCTCGGTTGAGAAGGATTTACGCAAGCCGCAGTTGCACAGCTTCGATGATCTTCAATTGAATTCGAGTATGCGTATACTCGAAGGTTGATGTCTTATTATCTTAAATCTTGTCTTTTATTCTTAACATTTTAGTCTTTACAAATCAACAGCTAAACAGCCCACCAATAACCAATATTAAAAATTAAATATATTCATATATTTCAAATAACTAGCTTAACGGTGCTTTTTATTTCCATCGATGTGCAAATAATTTATCGATGATTTGCAACAACTCGTGCGTGGAAGGTGTAAGACATCTCTAGCTGCCATCGTTCAAAAAGATAATTGATATCAAAAATATATTTGTTATATATCTATACATATGTATATGAGAAGACCACTTTAGTTAGCTAATCTGTAGCATAGCCATAATTTGATCAATTAGCTGCTCCCCACTCTGGTCGTCCTTATCATTCGCTAGCACATAGTCAAAGGAGCTGTCATCCAAATCACATTCGGATGGCTCGTCATCCACGCCCACAGTGAATTGCCAGCCTCTCGCTTTGCGAGTCTCTGGCAACGACGTCAAACGTAGTGTTTGCACCATTTGGGGGCCGTACGTCTCACGGAACCAGCGTATATCGTTCTTACGACGTACATCGCTGACAATGACATAGTCCACCTCATCCACGGGCGCCTGCTTCATGGCCGCACGACAAAAGAAGCCGTAATCTCTACGACGCACCTCATCGCTCCACACGATCATGTCTCTCCTATATTGCTCCTTATAGGGGCCATCGCTGAGCATAGCCTGAATATCCAGTTGCAGCTTGTTCGCCCATTCCTTTTTAATGGGCTCCGAGATGCGAACGATCAGGGCACGATCTGCCAGACTGTTAAAAATATATTTAACTTTCATGTCCTTTACCTTGTTTAGAATATACTCACCGGTTTAACAATCTCTCTGAAATGAAATCCTTACCACATTTCCGTTTGCCACTAATTAAAAATATTTTTTTCATATTTTCTTAGCTAAGCAACTTTCACTCTTCACTGCGCTTTTTGCTTAAATGACTACGTGACTTCTCCAATATAATTAGGCTGTTAATTTATGCGAGACAGCGTGTCAAAGTTGACATTTTCAGCTATTTATTACATCTTTGTACTTATGTAAATTAGTATTGTTCTGCACAAATTTAAATTGTTTACAAATAGGTGTTTTTTTTCATTATTCAGCTGATGGCAAAAGTTATCGTTATACCATAAGGCACCGATAACGATATGCCGAATTAATATCGAAACAGTTTGAAAACTGCGCTCGTGTTTCTAGTATTCAGTGATAAAATTCTAGCAAAAGTAATAAAATTTGTGAAATATAATGATATGATAAATATAATATACTACTGGATAGTTTCTACAATTATAGTCTTAACCATGTGCAATTATGGAACTTGAGGAAAAATCCGTTGTACAAAGAGCAATCGATTAATTTTGCTTTGATCTACATATTTGAAAGTCCAACAAAAGTTTTCCACATACAAGTTTATTTGTACAATAAGTAAATGTATAAGTGTATTATGCGAAAGTATAGATTCTGTCCATTAAATGACTATCTGTAATATTGCGCTTGCTGCCAGTTGCTGCCGCTGCTGGTGCTGCCTGTCGCGTTGCCGATGTCGTAGCTGCTGCTTAATTGGGCGGCGTTGCCTGCGCCCGCAGCTGCTCCTCCACCAGATGCGCTGCCACTGTTGGGTGCGCAATTCGGAATAGCTGGCGAGCTAGTAGAGGCCGTGGAAACGCCACCAGCCACGCCCGCACTGCCAAATGTAGCGAGCACGCTGCTGTAGTAGGAGGCATCTGCCACTGATTCGGACTGATGCGTCGTGCCCTTCTTGAGGGTCTGGTGTAGCGATGCCTTGCCCTGATGGCAGTCCTGGGCGTTCGCATTGTTGATGCGTGCCAGGTTCGCCAGCGTGAGAGTTGAGTGCGTGTGGCCAGTGGCTCGTTCAGAGGATCCCGGTGGAGGTATGGAGCCTATGCCAGCGCGAGTTGTGGAACGCTGTTGCATGTGGGCAGCAGCGGCAGCAGAGGAGGAAGAGACGGAGGCGGTAGAGGGTTCGGATAACTGCAAGGGCAAGCATTAGACAGAGATGTGGCATAGTTAGGAGCCATAGCAACTACTCGCCTTGCGCTGCTTATGCAACTCCAGGCCGCTCATCTCCGTCAGCTTTGGCTCCACGCCCGTTGACGCTGTCAGTGGCGGCTGTGGTGCGACGTGCCGGTGATTGATGTGCGCCTGCAGATCGCGCTGCGAGAGATACGTACGTCGACAGCCGGTGCTGCCATACCGACTACCACCGTGCGTGCACATGAAGACCGTGCCAAGGCCGGATTGCTCGACGCGCAGCACCTTGTCGCTGCAGCGCGGACAGCTCTTGATGGGCTCGGCGCGAGCACACTTGAGGCAAAAGACGTGTTTGCAGGGTATCATGCGGCCGTAGACAAGGATGGGTTTGTCGCACTGGTCGCAGCAATGGATCATCGGATTGAGCACCTTTTCGCCAATGAGGTTCACTTTGTGGTTCCATTTAAGGCGTAGCATGGGCTCCGGTGGTCCGCGTGACAATGTCGTAAATGTGGGCGCTTCCAACTGGGATATATCCGCTTCCATGTCAACTGCAAAAGGTGCAAATTAGTTGCATTTCCAGCATTTCTGGGTAAAACAAATCTTACTTGTCTGTGGTAGCATGGGCGGCGCTACCTGCTGCTGCAGCTGCTGTTGCTGAGGCGGCGGCGTTCTGTCTGCAATGGGTGTTGCCTGCTCTTCGGCCGATGCTGTTACCTCCATCTCGTTTTCTTTATCTAGGTCGTGCATCACGGCATCTTCTGTGTGATCCATGCTGCTGGGACTATCCTCAACGGCTCCGCTACCTGACACAGGTGCAACAACAACGCCAACGCCACCTTCGTATGTCTCTAATGTGCTGCCTGTGTCATCAATTTTTTTACCGCGTCCCCGGCCGCGTCCTCGGCCTCGACCCCGCGCTCGAGAGCCACGTCCGCGTCCACGGCCACGTTTAACTTCATCATTTTCCATTTTACAACTAACTAACTCCTGGGGACTTCAGATATATCAATTGTCTTTCCTCTCTGTGTCGCCGCCGCTGTTGCAAACTAGTGCTGCAAATCCATCGATGGAAATATCGATAGTATCGATGGACTTTCTTTTGTTAGATAGGTCGATGGAATTTTCTCGATGTCGATAGATCGCTGCAGACGCCAAGCCACAAGTAAGTTCATACGTTGATACTCAAATTATTATTAAAATTAGAATCTATTTTACACAAACAATTTGATTTATTTTTTAACATATAGCACATAGATACCTATTTACCACATTATTTAATTGTTGGCGGTTCCTCCACGGAAAATGGAACATTTTTTGATCCCATCTGGTAAGATTCATACAATTAATAGCAAACACGTTTTTTCTAATTGTTTTGGATTTTAGATAAAAGTGCTTCTTCGCCTGCAGACGCCAATAAGGAATCTTCATTTGCTGTTACGGTACACACTGAAAATATTGCGCCTCCGAATAAGCGAAAGAAATTTGAGAAATCTCAAGTATGGAAGTTTTTTGAAAAATGCCAAGAAAAAAACTTTGTGAAATGCCTGTTGTGTGGGCAGCAATATAAAACGAGCGGGAACACATCAAATATGCAAGAGCATTTAAAGCGTGCACATAATGGATCTCACGATAATTAATTTCAGCTTTAAGCTCAAGACTTTTGTGAAAGATAGTCAAGTTTTGTTTTTTAATTTTAAGTTAAATTTTAAAACTTGTTAATTACAGTCGAAATTTTTGGTTTTTAGTTATAAGATAAATATGAACCAAAGTTGATTTTTAGGATAGACTGTTTTGTGATGAACTGGAATACAAATATTATTTTTATGAATTAAGACGAAAAATCATGAATTGTTTTGAACTTACTGAGTATAAATGTTTAAAAAGTTAATTTTTTTTTCTATGAATTTTCAATAATTTTTGAATGATGGAGCTATTTTCGATGGAACCATCGATACTATCGATGTTTTAATCCATCGGACTCAAACAAAATCGATGGACGGTCCATCGATGGTTTTGCAGCACTATTGCAAACCATTCGCATTTTATCGATTAGATTTCTTCAAGCATTATCGATTGCATGACAGCTAAAAATGCTGACATTCCTTATTTTAATATGAAAAATGGTGACAAATTTGCTGTTAAGAATATTTATAAATTTGATTGTTTATTGTATTCAATAATTTAAATAATCAATATAAAAAGTATATTTTATTAACAGAATGGTAAGATTATAAATATTTAAAATGTGTATTTTGCGGCTGTGAATAAAAAAAAAGAACACCGACAAGAATGTTATAATACATCAAATATTATATTGTTCTGATTAAATATCAATGTCATTTTAATTTATTATTTGCAATAACAGAGTGAAAAAAAAAAAAATTAAATATACAAATTTTATAACAGTGCCAAGTGAGTATTAAATCGCTGCAATTTTAACATTCTGTTAAGTGAACAGAAATGAGTGCTCCGAAACACATGTGAATCTTAAATCTTAAAACAAGGTGCCGAGAAAGAAAAATATAATGGATATAGAAGAGTTATTTGAGTGCTTTAAGGAGCAGCCGTCTCAAGGTATACAGTTACCGTTGCCCGTACCCTTTAAAAAGACAACAGGAAAACAGACAGAGAAAACTGCGTCAGATGACAACACACAGCGAAAGGCGATCAAACGCGAATCTGCTGCAGCTAATGCAGATACCAGCGACAAGGAGCAAACTGAAGAAAATGATGTAAAGGAAGAGGATGCCAAGCGTCAGCGTGTAAAAGAAGTAGACGAAATTGCTAATGATACCTCAGACAACGAGGTGAAAAATGAAAAAGAGGACAATCCAGAAGAGTTGGATGATTGCGCAGTGGACGCCCTGCGCGTTCGTATTGTCACTCATCAGCTGGTGTCGCCCGAATCCTGCACACACGAGGTGGCCGCCCATCCTGACCAGGAGTATATTCCCTTGCAGCCGTTCACGGGCGTGCCTGCTAAGCAATACCCGTTCGTGCTGGATCCATTCCAAAAGCAGGCAATTCTCTGCATTGACAACTCGCAGAGCGTCCTGGTGTCGGCCCACACATCGGCGGGCAAGACTGTGGTGGCGGAATATGCCATTGCCAAGTCGTTGGCTGCCAAGCAGCGCGTCATTTATACCACTCCCATTAAAGCGCTCTCAAATCAGAAGTTTCGCGAGTTCACAGATGAGTTTGAGGATGTTGGTCTGGTCACGGGCGATGTTACCATCAATCCCTCCGCCTCCTGTCTGATAATGACAACAGAAATTCTGCGGAATATGCTGTACCGCGGCAGCGAAATAATGCGCGAGGTGGGCTGGGTGATCTTCGACGAGATTCATTATATGCGTGACAAGGAGCGTGGAGTGGTGTGGGAGGAGACACTCATCCTATTGCCCGACAATGTGCGCTACGTCTTTCTCTCGGCCACCATACCGAATGCTCGACAGTTTGCCGAATGGGTTTGCCACCTGCACAAGCAGCCCTGCCATGTGGTCTACACGGATTACCGACCCACGCCGCTGCAGCATTACATCTTCCCAGCTGGAGGCGACGGCATCCACTTGATCGTGGACGAGAAGGGACAGTTCAAAGAGGAGAACTTTACCACAGCAATGGCGGTGCTGGCCAACGCAGGTACGAAAAAATGATGGGGATATATTAGTGAATGTCCTGGTATATAGATATCTGAATAAATCTTTCCTTGCAGGTGAGGCAGCAAAGGGCGATCAGAAGGGTCGCAAGGGTGGCATCAAGGGCCACAATGAAGGTCAAACAAACATTTTCAAGATTGTCAAGATGATTATGGAGCGTCACTTTGCGCCCGTCATTATCTTCTCGTTTAGCAAGAAGGACTGTGAGGTGTACGCCATGCAAATGGCCAAGCTGGACTTTAATACGGTCGACGAGAAGAAGCTGGTGGATGAGGTCTTTAAGAATGCCATGGATGTGCTCTCGGAGGATGATCGTCGCCTGCCGCAGGTGGAGAATGTGCTGCCATTGCTGCGTCGTGGCATTGGCATCCATCACGGCGGACTGCTGCCCATTCTCAAGGAGACCATTGAGATTCTGTTTGGCGAGGGCCTGATCAAGGCGCTCTTCGCGACAGAGACTTTTGCCATGGGCCTGAACATGCCGGCGCGTACAGTTCTGTTTACGGCGCCGCGCAAATTCGATGGCAAGGACTTCCGCTGGATCAGCTCTGGCGAGTATATCCAAATGGCTGGACGTGCTGGTCGTCGCGGTCTGGATGACAAGGGCATCGTTATACTGATGATTGATGAGAAGGTCTCCCCGGTGGTGGGGCGTGAGATTGTGCAGGGCCAAGCAGACACTCTTAACTCGGCCTTCCATCTCACCTACAATATGGTGTTAAATCTGTTGCGCGTGGAGGAAATCAACCCGGAGTATATGCTCGAGCGCAGCTTCTATCAGTTCCAAAACCAAGCCACACTGCCCGGCCTATACGATCAGGTGCAGCAGAAGACACAGCAGCTGGAGAAAATTAAGATCAAGGACGAGCACAATATCGCCTCCTATCATAACATCCGCGACCAGCTCGAGATCTACGGCAACAAGTACCGCGAGTGGATGACCAAGCCACAGTATCTGGCGTCCTTTCTGCAGCCAGGGCGACTGGTTAAAGTCTCGGCTGGCAAGCACGAGTATGACTGGGGTCTGGTATTGAACTTTAAGAGGAAGCAAGATCTAAATCGCAAGAACCCATTGGAGAGTGAACCGGGCATTGTCATCGATGTGCTGCTCCATGTCAGCGAAGAGTCGGCCAAGACAGGCGACACCGAGCCCTGTCCGCCCAACGAGCGTGGCTGCATGGAGGTTGTTCCCGTATCCAATTCCCTCATCACCCAAATTAGCTCGATACGCGTCTACTTTCCCAGCGATCTGCGTACGGCTGACAATCGCCGGGCCGTGCTGAAGACCATACAGGAGGCGAAAAAACGATTCCCCCTCGGACCACCCTTGCTCCATCCCATCAAGGACATGAACATTAAGGATGGCGAATTCCGCAAAATCATGGACACAATCGCACAGTTCGAGCAGTTGCTCGAGGCGCATCCCTTGCACAAGTCGCCGGAGCTGGATCGCGTTCACAAGCGGTACATCGAGAAGCTAAAGCTGCAGAATGAGGTGAAGGACCTGAAGGCAGAGCTAAAAGCTGCCCGCAGCTTGCTGCAAATGGACGAGTTGAAATTCCGCAAACGTGTGCTCCGGCGCATGGGCTACTGTAAGCCGGGCGATGTCATCGAGTTCAAAGGTCGCGTTGCCTGCGAGCTGAGCTCCGCGGATGAGCTGCTTATCACTGAAATGATATTCAATGGTGTCTTCAACGACCTCACCGCTCCGCAAGCTGTGGCGCTGCTCTCCTGTTTCGTATGCGACGAGAAGTCCAGCGAGGCGCCAAAGAGCGCCACCGAGCTGTCCGGCCCGTTGCGCTCCCTGCAAAGCTTGGCGCGTCGCATTGCCAAGGTGTCCACCGAATGCAAGCTGAATCTGGATGAGGAGAGCTATGTGGAGAAGTTCAAGCCCTACCTAATGGACGTTGTGTTGGCCTGGTGCAACGGCTCCAGCTTCTTGAATGTCTGCAAGATGACGGACATCTTTGAGGGCTCCATCATTCGGTGCATGCGGCGTCTGGAGGAGCTGTTGCGCCAGCTGTGCCAAGCATCCAAGACGATTGGCAACACAGATCTGGAGAATAAGTTCTCCGAAGGCATTCGACTGCTCAAGCGCGACATTGTCTTTGCTGCCTCGCTATATCTATAGATTAGTCTTTCTTACTTTTTCTACTAATGAAAAATTTACAGTTATTTTACAAATGAATGAGATGTAAATATGACAGACATTTCATAGGTATGATTATATAGATGATATATATCATGTTATACTATCAATGACACATGTTGACAGTAGAACACAAAGCACATTATGCAGAACATTTTACAAATGAGAAATAATATTAATTT